TAAAACTTTCACTATTTGCAGATGACATGATACTCCATGTAGAAAACCTGAAAGACTCCATCAAAAAATTGCTAGAACTGATAAACGAATTCAGCAAAGTCATAGGATATACTATCGATGTACAGAAATCTGTTGAATTTCTGTACACCAATAATGAAGCAGCAGAAAGAGAAAATAAGGAATTGATCCTGTTTACAATTGCATCAAAAACCATAAGACACTTAGGAATAAACCTAACCAAAGAAGTAAAAAATATGTAATATGAGAACTATAGAACACTTACAAAAGAAATCAAAGAGGACACAAATGGAAAAATATTCCATGCTCATAGGTTGGAAGAACAAATATTGCTAAAATGTCTACACTACTCAAATATACATATTTAATACAATCTATACATTTAATACAATCCCTATCAAAATACCACCAGCATTTTTCACCAAGCTAGAACAAACAATCCTAAAATTTGTATGGAACCACAAAAGACTCCAAATAGCCAAAGCCATCTTGAGAAAGAAAAGCAAAGCTGGAGGCATCACAATTCCGGACTTCAAGCTATATTACAAAACTGTAGTCACCAAGACAGTATGGTACTGGCACAAAAACAAACACATAGATCAATGGAACAGGATAGAAAACCCAGAAATGGATCCACAACTATATGGTCAACTAATCTTTGACAATGCAGGAAAGAATATCCAATTCAAAAAAGAGTCTCTTCAACAAGTGGCATTGGGAAAACTGGACAACAACATGCAGAAGAGTGAAACTAGACCACTTTCTTACACCATACACAAAAGTAAATTTAAAATGGATGAAAGACCTAAATGTGAGCCAGGAAACCATCAAAATCCTAGAGGAGAACACAGGCAGCAACCTCTTTGACCTTGCTAGAACAACTTCTTAGTAGACACATTGCTGGAGGCAAGGAAAACAAAACTAAAACTGAACTCTTGGGACTTCATAAAAATAAAAAGCTTCTGGACAGGGAAGGAAACAATAAAACTAAAAGGCACCCTACAGAATGGGAGAAGATATTTGCAAATGGCATATTGGATAAAGGGTTAGTATCCAAAATCTATAAAGAACTTATCAAACTCAATACCCAAAAAATAATGCAGTTAAGAAATGGGCAAGACATGAACAGACATTTTTCCAAAGAAGACATCCAGAAGGATAACAGACACAAAAGGATGCTCAACATCACTCATCATCAGGGAAATACAGATCAAAACCACGATGAGGGGGGCGCCTGGGTGGCTCAGTCTGTTGGGCATCAGACTTTGGCTCAGGTCATGATCTCACAGTCCATGGGCTTGAGCCCCACATTGGGCTCTGTGCTGACAGCCCAGAGCCTGTAGCCTGCTTCGGATTCTGTGTCTGTCTGTCTCTCTCTCTCTCTCTCTCTCTCTCTCTCTCTCTCTGCCCCTCCCCCCCACTCACGCTCTCTGTTTCTCACAAAATGAATAAACGTTAAAAAAAATTTTTTTTAAAAACCATAATGAAGTACCACCTCACACCTGTTGGAATGCCTAAATTAGCAACACAGGAGGCAACAGAGGTTTGTGAGGATGCAGAGAATGGGGAACCCCCTTACTCTGCTAGTGGGAATGCAAACTGGTGCAGCCACCCTGAAAAACAGTGTAGATCTTCCTCAAAAAGTTAAAAATAGAACTACCCTACAACCCAGAAATTGCACTACCAGGTATTTACCCAAAAGATACAAAAATAAGATTTGAAAGTGCACATGCACCCCCATGTTTATAGCAGCATTATCTTCAATAGCCAAACTATGGGAAAAGTTCAAGTGTCCAATGGAAGTATACATATATACAATGGAAGTAGTATATATACAATGGAATCTTATTCAGCCATAGAAAAGAATGGATATTTGCCATTTGCAACAATGTAGATTTTATAAACAGCTAGAGTTTATTATGCTAGGCGAACTAAGTCAGAGAAAGACAAATACCGTATGATTTCACTATGCAGAATTTAAGAAACAAAACATAAACATAGGGGAAGGGAGAAAAAAAAAGAGTGGGAGGCAAACCATAAGAGACTCTTAAGTATAGAGAACAAACAGAGTTGCTGGAGGGGAGGGGAGTTGGGAATGGGCTAAATGGGTGATGAGTATTAAGGAGGGCACATATTGTGATGAGCACTGGGTGTTATATATAAGTGATGATTCACTAAATTCTCCTAAAACCATTATTACACTATATCTTAATTAAAATTTAAATAAAAACTTGAAAAGAAGAAATGGGGAGACTCAAACTCTGGTTGTTTAAAAAGTATGGACAAGATGAATGAAGTAAAAAGAAGATATAAACAAGTTTCAGAGTGAAAGAAACATAATGAGAGACATAGTAGATACACCAGAATTCTTAGATGTATGGCAGAATTGGGAATTCCTCCCTTGGGCAAACTTTGCCAAAAGGGGAGACATTCTGCACTTCATTTTATGAGACTATTTTCATCTTGATATCAAAACCAGACAAAGACAAAAAAAGAAGAGAATTGAAATTATTAGACCAATCTCATCTATAAATATATGCATATGTTTATATATATAAATCTTAAATAAAATCTTATATATAAAATTATATAAAATCTTAAATAACTGTTAATAAACTTCATACAGCAATATATATGTTAAAGAAAAATTCTCCTAACGCTTGACAATGTAGGGTTTACCTGGAATGCAAGTATGTTTATCATTAATAAATTCATTATTACAACATACCCAATTATCAGGCTTAACAAAGTCTTTGTTTACCTAAATATATACAGAAAAGCAGTTGATAAAATTCAACAGTACTTCATGACTAGCAAAAAAAAAAAATCCTTATAGTAAACTGGTAATTAAAGGAAAAAAAATTTTTTGTAATCTTTTAATGTTCTCTACAAATACATATATATATACATATTTGATTTTATAGTCAAATAGAACCATTCTCTTTGAAATTAGAAAAACGTTTCTACCATCATGGCTTCTATTCAATATTATGCCTGTCTCAGTATAGTCAAAGATGATACAATGATTGAAAATACATAAACAAAACTCTCTCTCTCTCTGTGTCTCTCTCTGTCTCTCTCTCTCTCACACACACACACACACACACACACACACACACACACACAGGAGGAAAATACACATAATGTGATGTGAAATGCAAAATAATGTCTTGCCCAAGGAAAACTGGTGAGTAGCCGAACCAGGAGTTCACATATAATTTGCCTCTGAAGTCTGAACTCAGCAACTTCTGCTGTACCATCTAGTGGCCCAGAGAATAGGGAAGACTAGCCATTTCAGCTGCAATCTAAATTGCAGTCTTGCTTCTTGTAAACTTCCTCACCAGTGAGATAACCAGAAATCTTAAATTAATATTATTAACGGAGTGCCTTGATGGCTCAGTTGGTTAAGTGTCCGACTTAGGCTCAGGTCATGATCTCACTGTTGGTGAGTTTGAGACCCAAGCCAGGCTCTGTGCTGACAGCTAGGAGTCTGGAGCCTGCTTGGGATTCTGTGTCTCCTTCTCTGCTCCAACGCTGCTCATGCTCTCTCTCTTTCTCTCTCTCTCTCCCTCAAAAATAAGTAAACATTAAAAAAATTAAAAAAATAATGTTTCTAATTAATATTATTAGCAAAATTTTATATTTATCTTCCAGAAGATTTGGTCTTCATGTTTTCAGATTTTTCCACTCTTCCAGTATGATAAATAGTGCCACACTAAATATTCTTGGGTCTTCGTATATGTAGAATAGTCTCTTGTAAGTTTATTTTCTGTGGATACATTCACACGAGCAGTATTAACAGGTAAAAAAAAAATGTGAGCCATGGCTATTGGCATATGTTGGCAAATTTCTAAAGCAATTTGTGGTGACCCTGTAATACGATAAGTAATTGAGTTTCTTTTTTTTTTTTTTTAACCTTTATTTATTTTTGGGACAGAGAGAGACAGAGCATGAACGGGGGAGGGGCAGAGAGAGAGGGAGACACAGAATCGGAAACAGGCTCCAGGCTCTGAGCCATCAGCCCAGAGCCTGACGCGGGGCTCGAACCCACAGACCGCGAGATCGTGACCTGGCTGAAGTCGGACGCTTAACCGACTGCGCCACCCAGGCACCCCAGTAATTGGGTTTCTAAACATACGATTAACTCATGAATTAAGAGCTTGTTTAAATGGTGCTTATACTTGGAGAATGGTATTTTACTAACTCATGAATATGGTATATTGACATCATTCTTTAAAGTAGGTTTTTATTGCAAAATAAGTTGCTAATATTTTTACTTTATTTTAGTTATATTATTTTTAGTACACACATACTTATTGAGCCTAGAAGTTGGAGGCTTAATCATATAATTCTAATGTTTTGTATGTTAAAAATTTTTATAATAAAATACTCGGAGAAATGTTTTTTTCAAACCACTTGAATTAATGGATAAAAGGCAAAACTGTATAAGCAAAAGATTCCTTTAGTTTTAAAAAGAGATTTAAAACTTTGATATGGTGAAATATTTTGTTACACTTGATTTTCATCAGAACTAGAAAAGGGTTGTCACATAATTTCATATACATATAAATATACATCCCAAGAGGCAGTACAGCTTAAGTAGTTAAGACCACAGAGTTTGGAGCCAAATTGCCTGCATTTAAATCCCAACTCTACCATATCCTAGCTCTGGGACCTCAAACAAATTACTTTTCTTAGCTTCAGTTTTCTCTGTAAAAATGGTCATACTTATTTTTATTTTTATTTGTTACTTAAAAAATTATTTTTAAGTTTGAAGCATTTTATGCCCAGAGCAATTGATGCTTCTATTTTGTTCCTTTCTTTCTGGGTAGGTGGAAACATACATTGTTCAAAATGTATAGTCTTTATGGGATAGAGAAGATGTAGACAAAGAAGGTATAATAGAGCTGTTTCTCTGATTTTAGTTTGAACTTTCTTTCTTCATATTCTTGAATATTTATTCTTTTCTTCTGGTTTTCCAGATTAAATGCATTTATGGAAAAAGAAAAATTGGATGGTAATAGAATACTGTAATGCTGCAATGGATTCCTCAGCGGAAAACAGTATGTACGTAAACAAATTGTGGGTTCAGTGTGAGTATGAAAGCTGTTTGAAGTGGAGATTGTTGTCAAGTGAGGATGCAGCCAGAGTTGATCACAATAAACCATGGTACTGCTTCATGAACACTGATTCAAGATACAATAAGTGCTCTGTTGCTGAAGAAGACTTTCCTGAAGAGTCTCAGCTTCATCAAAGTGGATTTAAGATTGTCTATTCACAACTCCCTCTTGGAAGTCTGGTTTTGGTAAAATTACAGAATTGGCCAAGGTAAAGTTTTTGTTGTTGTTTTATAATAAACCATTGAGTTACAGTCTTGCTAAGTTTATGAATTTTTTAAACTTTTCAAACAGTCAACTTTTTTTCTACTATTTGTCTGATTTCTTATTTACTGTTTCCTGATCTCATCACTATTATTTTCCTGATACTTTAGGGTCTGATTCTTCTTTTTCTAATTTTTTAAATTAGAAACTTTAGGTAACTGGTTTAAATCCTTTTTCCTCTTGAAATAGGCAACCAAAGCTATAAATTTATCTTTAAGCACAGCTTTAGCTATTACCCCACAAATTTTGATATATTGTATTTTATTACCTTTAGTTTCAAATATTTACTAATTTTCTGTGTGATTATCTTCTTTAAAATGAGCTGTTAGAAGTGTATCTTTAAGTTATGTAATATTTGGGGATTTTTAAATATCTTATTGATATTGAGCTCTAGTTTAAATATATTGTACTCAGTTTCTTTGAATCTTATTTTATGGCCCAGCATAGTCTGTCTTGAAAAGAATGTATATTCTATAATTGTTGACTAGATGCCCAAAATATTTTTTTTCTTTTAGATTCTATAGATTTACTATTGTATAGCTCAGCGTTTCCCACACTAGACTGATTTTCCCAAGTGTGCAATATGTACTGTCGTTTGTCTGGGAAACTGTTTATCGCTCCTTCTATTCTGAATGATAGCCTTGCTGGAGTATTCTTGGTTGCAAGTTTTGGGGCTTTTTTTGTTTTTTTGTTTTTTGTTGTTTGTTTTTTTTCTTTCAGCACTTTGAATGTATCATGACCACTCCCTTATGGCCTGCAAAGTTTCTGCTGAAAAATCAGCTGATAGGGGCTTCTTCCCTTGTATGTAATTGTTTCTTCTCTTGCTGTTTTTAAAATTCTCTTTATTGCTATCTTTTGCCATTTTAATTATTATGTGTCTTGGTGTGGACATCCTTGAGTTGATTTTTTTGAGCATTCTCTATGCTTGCTGGATCTGGGTGTCTGTTTCCTTCCCCAGATTAAGGAAGTTTTCAGCTGTTATTTCTTGAGATAAAATTTCTGCCCCTTTTCTCTGTCTTCTCCTTCTGGGACTCCTTAATGCAAATTTTATTATGCTTGATGATGTTACTGAGTTCCCTTAACCTGTTATCATTTTTTATTATTCTTGTTTCTTTTTGTTATTCAGTTTGTTTGCTTCCCATTACCCTGTCCTCCAGATGTTATCTGTTCTTCTGCCTCATCTAATATGCTACTGATTCCCTCTAGTGTGTGTGTGTGTTTTTCTTTAATTTCAGTTACTGAGTTCTTCATCTCTGACTTGTTCTGTTTTATATTTTCTAGCTCTTTCTTGAAGGTCTCACTGAGATCCTTCACTCTTTTCTCAAGTCCAGTGAGTATTTTTATGACCATTACTGAATTCTTTATCATGCATATTACTTATCTCTGTTCCATTTAGCTGTATTGCTGTGGTTTTGTACTGTTCTTTCATTTGTGACATATTCCTCTGTTTCCTCATTTTGTCTAACTCTCTGTGTTTGTCTCTATGTATTAATGAGGTCAGCTATGTTTCCTGATCTTGAAAGTGGTGGCCTTATGAAGAGGAGGTCCTGTTGTGGCCTATAATGCAAGGCTCCCTGTTCACCAGAAACAGAGGTGTGTCCTGTGTGATTTGCTTGCACCCTACTAATGTGGCTGAGTTGCATTTGCCTTAGTCCAGTTGGCTACAGTGGCCCACTTTGCTTGTGGGTGCACTAGGCAACGTTTGGTCCTTGTGCCATTAAGGGGTCAGTCTAGGTTGTCATGGGCTTGTGGTTGGGTGGTGTCTGTCCCCAGATGTCTGTCCCCAGTCTGCCTGCTGGGGCGACAGTTGGACTGATCAACAGGGTACCCTCTCTGTGCTGCCAGCTATAAAGTTTGGCCACTGGGACTGTGGGGGCACTGATATGTGTGGTTATCTTCCCCTCTCCCTGGGGCAGAAGTCATTTTGGAGTGGTACCAGTTCCCCTTGGAGTTGCTTGCAGGCTGTATTGGGGCAGGAGCTGCTTTGGAGGGACTCTTGCTGTGTCTCTTTCATTTTATATGACATGAGTTCTGTTTTTTAAGAGATTTTTTTCAGTCTGTTTTCTCTCTGTTGTTCAGATTGGATCATTTCTACTTTAAGTTCACTGATTCTTGCCTCTTTCATATTCATTCTGCTATTGAGAGTATCCATTGACTTTTTTGTTTTGGTTATTGTATTTTCTATTGTAAAATGTACATTTGGTTCTCTCTATCTTCTATTTATTTTCATTTTGGATTTTATTTAAATCTGTTTTTAGCAGGCTGCTCCTACTACTGCACTGAAGGGATATAAGGGAACCTCTTTGTTACTGCCAGATGGCAGTTGGAAGCCTAGGTTTTCTACTCAGCTTTCACTTAGTCTCTTGGAAGGGAAGGGTGTTTCATTACTGGTAGGCAGGGATGAGAGTTGAGCCGAGTCACCAACTTGGCTGAGAGAGGTAGAGTATCTTGTTACTCACCTCCACTGATACCATGGGGGGAGAACCATGTTAATGCTGGAAGGTGATAACAATTCCAGCTTCCCAGTAGGCCTCTTCTGCCACCACCTGAGTGGGAAGGACATGGGGCTTTATTACTGCTGGGTGTATTGAAGTGTAGGCTCACCACTTGACCTTTGTTGATGGGGATAGAGTTGGGATCTGCAGATTTTTCCATGGTATTTAGCTGTTTTCCCAGCTATTGCTTAAAAGTTTTCTGTCTTGCTAGGCTTTCCCTATGCTGGTCCTTTGACTTGAGAAAGCAGGCTTCATATGGACTTTTTGTTCCTTTGCACCCATTGGTGTCTCTGAGTTGCTGGCTTCTTTAGCACCCAATCTAGGAGATAATGAGGCAAAAAGAACACTCAGGCAGCTCCCTGTCATATCATTCTTCAGGTCCCAAGGTCCTTATCTGGCTTATTTTCTCTTCATCTTTTAGAATATTCTTATGTTTGTTTGTTTGAAATATAATACCCAGAAATTTTTGGTGTACTTAGTGGGAAGAATATAGAGAATTGAGTCTATTTCAACTTGTCCAGAACTGGAATCTGCAGAATAGATTTTCTTTAGCCTTTTTGTCTAAATCGTATACCCAGAGCCCCTTATTCTATTATTTTCTCAAAGTATCAAAAATACGAACTTGTTTTCTGAAATTTCTTAGCATTTTTCTTTTCACATATTTCCTCCCCTGTTCCACACAACCTCACATACCATCAATATCCCAAAACAGTGTGGCACATTTGTTACAGTGTGTGAACCGGCATTTACCTATCACTGGTGACCAAAGTCCACAGTTTACATTAGGGTTTGATCTCTGTACTGTGTATTCTGTAGGTTTTGACAAATGTATAATGACATGTATTCACCATCATAGTATCATACAGAATCGTTTCACTGGCCTAAAAATCTCCTATGTTTCACCATTCATCCATCCCACCACCCCTGGAAACTGGAGATCTTTTTACTGTATCCATAGTTTTGCCTTGTCCAGATTGCTATATTATTGTAATCATGATATGTTGCCTTTTCAGATTGGCTTCTTTCGCTTAGTGATATGCATTTAAGTTTCCCCTATGTATTTTCATGGACATACGTGGTTGTTTTCATTTGTATTTCCCTGATGACATGTCATGTGGAGCATTTTTTAATATGCCTATTTGTCATTTGTATATCTTATTTGGTGAGATGTCTACTCAGATCTTTCGCCAATCTTTTAATTCAGTTGTTCATTTTCTTATTGGGGAGCTTAAGAGTTCTTTGTGTATTTTGGATATCATTTCTTTATTAGATATGTCTTTTGCAAATATTTTCTCCCAGTCTGTGGCTTATCTTCTCATTCTCTTACCAATGTCTTCTGCAGAGCAGATACTTTTAATTGTAATGAAGTCCAACTTACCCATCTTTTTTTCATGGATGGTGCTTTTGGTGTTGTATCCCCACTTTTATTTGTACCTTCTCTTTCCTTTATCTGTATTGATCCTTTCTTCTTTGATTTGGATTATACTTCCAGCAATTTCTCATCAGTGTAAGCTTTTGTCCTGATAAGGGAGTTTTTTGTTGGTTAGTTTTAAGTGTTCATAGGGCCCAGACTGCTCTAATACCTTCAGGTTTTGTTGTAACCCCCCTCGTAGTTTGGCTGCTGTGCTCACGTTGACTTGCTGCACTTTTTAATAAGTACTTCTTTCAGTTTTGAGTTTCTTAATTTCACAAACCCATCAGACCTCTGGTTGCCTTCCCCCTCCCACTGTTTCCCCTCATACAGATGCTAGTAATATGTGGGTCTTGTAACTGTCAGTAGTTTGAACCTGCCTGCTCCTATTTTGGTAGTTTATGTGGATAGCTTATCACTTAGTTTTGTTATAGATGTTGTGTGTCAGGTTTTGGCTTTGCTATTATAGTTGTTCTACCTGTACTTATGGGGAAATTTCAGGAGATTCTAAAACTACAATAACATTGGCACTATCTTCCCAGAATCCCTTGCTATTTTACATTGTATTCTCATACTTAACATTCTCAAAGCTAGGATACTCTGCCTCATATTACCTTGTTTTCATTCACAGTTAGCTATTCTTCATGAAGAATATAAGATGTTTTCTTTCATAGAGAGACTGTGATGGACTCACGTTAACATACGTATACACATTCACACACACACACACACACACACACACACACAACACATACATAAGAGGCTTTCAATTCAATACCTACATTTATGTTCTTACTCTGTCACTTACTGTTGTGGGCTGAATTGTGGTCCCCAGAAAGTCATACTTTCAAGCTCAAACCTCAGAAGTGACTGTATTTGGATTCAGAGCCTTTAAAGAGGTGACTAAGTGAAAATAAGCCATTAGGGTGGGCCCCACACCAATCTGACTAGTATTCTTATAAGAACAGGAAATTTGGACACACAAGGAAACACCAGGGATGCACATGCATAGAGGAAAAACTATGTAGAGATACAGTAGGA